GCTAAAATCAAGGTATATCACATCCACTGACTTCCCCATATCCACAGAGCCAGTTACCTCATCATAGAAGCTAATCAGATTGGTCAGGCACGACTTGCCCTTGGTGAATCCATGTTGACTATTCCTGATCACTTTCCCCTCTTCCAAGTGCTTCAAAATGGATTCCCTTACTTCTGCCCGGGTTGTGCCCTCAGGGACCATGGGTCTGCTCCATCCCCTAGGCACTCTCCCTTGCTGAGGCACCTCTCTAGCTGAAGCCCCTGTAGTCATGTTGCCTGGGCCCATGGTGAGCAGTACATTCTTAGGGCTTAGCCCCTTCCTATCCACACTGTAACTGGAGGACAAGAGGCAGCTGGGTTGTGGTGGTGGCCAGCAGCAGCCTGTGGGTATTAGTGCCTTCTGACAGTTTCTGGGCAGGAAGGGACAAGCTGCTTTCAGCCACAGGGACAGGAAGGGAGAAGAGGTGATGTGTTTGGTAAAATCACAGGCATTCCCTCCCTTCATCCTGTTTATAAGAGTAGCCACACGAGTACAGCCCGTCTAGTACAGTAGTCTGTTCTCTGACAGTGGCCGATGCCACCTGCTTCAGAGGAATGAATAGAACAGGCAAGCATCAAGTGATCCCTCCCCTCGCCCATTCCCAGCTTCTGGTGAACACAGGCTGGGGACACTTCAGAGCCTGGTTTTCAATCCCTGCACATCCTGACTAATAGCTCTCGATGGATCCATGCACTCACTAACCTCTTTTTTTAATCCTGTTATAGTCTTGGCCTTCCCAACATCCTCTGGTTCTACAGGTTGATTATGTGTTGTATGAGGAAGTACTTCCTTTGGATTGTTCTAAACCTACTGCCTGTTCACTTCATTTGGTGACACTTAGGGTATGTCTACACTACAAAGTTAGTTCGAACTAACTTTCATAGGCGCTACACTAGCGCTTCGTTAGTTCGAATTTAATTCGAACTAATGGAGCGCTTAGTTCGAACAAGGTAATCCTCATTCCACGAGGATTAAGCCTAGTTCGAACTAGCTAGTTCGAACTAGGCTTAATCCTCGTGGAATGAGGATTACCTTGTTCGAACTAAGCGCTCCATTAGTTCGAATTAAATTCGAACTAACGAAGCGCTAGTGTAGCGCCTATGAAAGTTAGTTCGAACTAACTTTCATAGGCGCTACACTAGCGCTTCGTTAGTTCGAATTTAATTCGAACTAATGGAGCGCTTAGTTCGAACAAGGTAATCCTCATTCCACGAGGATTAAGCCTAGTTCGAACTAGCTAGTTCGAACTAGGCTTAATCCTCGTGGAATGAGGATTACCTTGTTCGAACTAAGCGCTCCATTAGTTCGAATTAAATTCGAACTAACGAAGCGCTAGTGTAGCGCCTATGAAAGTTAGTTCGAACTAACTTTCATAGGCGCTACACTAGCGCTTCGTTAGTTCGAATTTAATTCGAACTAATGGAGCGCTTAGTTCGAACAAGGTAATCCTCATTCCACGAGGATTAAGCCTAGTTCGAACTAGCTAGTTCGAACTAGGCTTAATCCTCGTGGAATGAGGATTACCTTGTTCGAACTAAGCGCTCCATTAGTTCGAATTAAATTCGAACTAACGAAGCGCTAGTGTAGCGCCTATGAAAGTTAGTTCGAACTAACTTTCATAGGCGCTACACTAGCGCTTCGTTAGTTCGAATTTAATTCGAACTAATGGAGCGCTTAGTTCGAACAAGGTAATCCTCATTCCACGAGGATTAAGCCTAGTTCGAACTAGCTAGTTCGAACTAGGCTTAATCCTCGTGGAATGAGGATTACCTTGTTCGAACTAAGCGCTCCATTAGTTCGAATTAAATTCGAACTAACGAAGCGCTAGTGTAGCGCCTATGAAAGTTAGTTCGAACTAACTTTCATAGGCGCTACACTAGCGCTTCGTTAGTTCGAATTTAATTCGAACTAATGGAGCGCTTAGTTCGAACAAGGTAATCCTCATTCCACGAGGATTAAGCCTAGTTCGAACTAGCTAGTTCGAACTAGGCTTAATCCTCGTGGAATGAGGATTACCTTGTTCGAACTAAGCGCTCCATTAGTTCGAATTAAATTCGAACTAACGAAGCGCTAGTGTAGCGCCTATGAAAGTTAGTTCGAACTAACTTTCATAGGCGCTACACTAGCGCTTCGTTAGTTCGAATTTAATTCGAACTAATGGAGCGCTTAGTTCGAACAAGGTAATCCTCATTCCACGAGGATTAAGCCTAGTTCGAACTAGCTAGTTCGAACTAGGCTTAATCCTCGTGGAATGAGGATTACCTTGTTCGAACTAAGCGCTCCATTAGTTCGAATTAAATTCGAACTAACGAAGCGCTAGTGTAGCGCCTATGAAAGTTAGTTCGAACTAACTTTCATAGGCGCTACACTAGCGCTTCGTTAGTTCGAATTTAATTCGAACTAATGGAGCGCTTAGTTCGAACAAGGTAATCCTCATTCCACGAGGATTAAGCCTAGTTCGAACTAGCTAGTTCGAACTAGGCTTAATCCTCGTGGAATGAGGATTACCTTGTTCGAACTAAGCGCTCCATTAGTTCGAATTAAATTCGAACTAACGAAGCGCTAGTGTAGCGCCTATGAAAGTTAGTTCGAACTAACTTTGTAGTGTAGACATACCCTTAGTTCTTGTGTTAGGAGAGAGAGTAACTAACATTTCCTTATTTACCTTCTCCACACCTGTCATGATTTTATTCAGGAGGTGTGCATACCATGAGTGTATTTAGAGGCAATATGATATTTTTTGTCTTCTTATCTATCCCTTTTCCTTATGATTCCCAACAATTTTTCCTTTTTTTACTCTACATTGAGTAGATGTTTTTAGAGAATTAGCCAGAGAGACTCAAAAATCTCTTTTGTGAGTGGTAATGGTTAATTTTACAGTCCATCAGAAATATATTTTATATGTATATTTGGGATTATGTTTTTCAATGTGCATTACTTTGCATTATCAGCATTGAATTTCATCTACCATTTCATTGCCCAGTCATCCAGTTAGTTCTGTGGATCCCTTTGTACCTCTTCGCAGTCTGCTTTGGACTTACCTTTCTTGAGAAGTTTTGCCACCTCACTGTTTACATCTTTTTCCAGATCATAGTAAAAGTCCACTTCTGCCCACAAGAGCTTCCAGCTGAAATAGAAAAAACAAAGGGTGAAAGACAGGAAATATTATACTCTCCATTTATATATGGATATATATTTATGTATGCTCTGAAGATGCAAATTGGCCAACCTATGGTGAAATCAATGGAGTTGCATTTATTTGTACCCAGTGAAGATCTGACCCCAGTGACTTGTCCATAGGGTCACCCTTCTTTGACGTTGCATAATGTAGTATTTACCGTCATAGCAATTTGCTGCACAATATTCAAAAATTGTTAACGTGGAGTTGCTCCTGTGCCATTAAAGGCAAAGGGAGTTTTACAGTTGACTTTCAATGGACACAGAAATGGGTACTATTTCTGTAGATTGTGATGTGTATAGATTGTGAAATTTCTGCAAATGAACAGTATTCCTTTCAATACCACAGCAGACATTGTCGTATTACTGATTGTTAAGGCACATAATTGCATGGTCACTGACAATGACAGTTCATGCTGTGTTCTAATTTGCTTTTTTTCCTATCTGCTCTGCACAGTGAGTTTGCTTTAGAAATCTAATTAAACAGCCACAGTAGTTCCTGATAAGTTTCTAGCTAAACAAGGTAATAATAACCCATTAACAAGGAACACATTTTTCCCTTGCATTTGCTTTATAGTAATTATGTTGCTAAAAAAATGCATCTACCGAGCTGTAGCCTATAAAATACAAGGTAGCTTTTTGTGGTGTACTTTGACAGACAAAACAAAGCAAAGGACTTGAAGTAAATGCTGTGGAGTCTTTACATGTTAGAAGAATATTATGTAAGTATTTATTTCTATGAGGTGTTTTTAAAGCCTGAACTTGTATATTGTTAAACTCTGGTTTTGTATTACAAGCATTTTAAGATATTTTTCATAAATTTATAGTAAAAGAAAATTTCGTATTTTTCAGTAGTCTGTTCATAGGGACCTATTTGCAAAGTGAACTACACACTTGGATTACTTTTTAAAATGACTTTCCTACATGAGCTATGATTAATATGAAGTCTTATTCACAAAGGATGTCAAAGTAACATAGTTCACAATGCTTCTGTACATAGTATTCATGGTTCTGAGTTTGTATCATTTCAACTGGAGAGCCCAAGATACAAAGTTTGATTCTGAACATGAATTTTTAACATTCTGATGTTTCCAGGTATTCGAAGCCAGAGGTTCAGTTAGACTCGCCTCTGTTTATTTGCTGCTTTTCTTCAAAAAGTTGGGGCTGTTTTCTGTGGTGGCTGGATTCTTTTATGTTTCGGTCTAATGGTAAACATTTATTTTCAGTGGTTGCACTACCAGGGTGTTCTATTAAAATGTGTTTTGAAAATGCACCAATTTGCATGTCAGCACTAATATTTGTAATTATTAATTTCCAACCTATATGTGATATTTTCAGTGGAAGTTTGCATGACAAATGAAAACAAATGGATAACAGAAAGAAATGACCTCCCTGTAATATCTTACAGGCTCACAAATGGCTGAGGGTATACTGATTCCAGTTCAAGACACAATTTGTGTTCCATTATATTTGGAAAAAATGCACAAAGCTCAGGAGTAACATGAAGTTCTCCTGGATGTCATTCTTGATTGACCTTTTGGTATGCAGAGGTACTGATCCCTAGAAATAAGTTGTCTAAGCTTCAGAAGCACTTAAAAGGAGTCACCAAACTGCTTATGGCATAACAGATAACTCTTTGCAGGATCAAATTCAATATAATATATGCATTTACATTGCTATATTGCAGCTCCCCTGGTTCTATATTGCTGTTTGTTATGTTCATTATTGCTTGACATTTTCATTTACATTATTTGATTAAATTCTTAGCATATTATTATCTTCAGTCTCAGGTGAATCATCTTTCTGCTGCTAACAATGAAACCTATCAAGAACGACTGTCACGATTAGAAGGTGATAAAGAGTCTCTCATACTGCAGGTATGTATAGAAGCATACTATAAACTTATTTTGTATTCAATGGCTAAAAGTCATGAGAGAAATATGAAGCCAAACACCTTGGTTCTGTTGTAGCAATGGAATACGATCTGTGCAAGAAACATTTATTGGGCGCTGAATAGAAAATTGCCATTGGATGTGAGGAAAGCTTGCCTTTAGCCAGGCCAGCCATGAAAAGGATTGACATTTATATGTAACACAAAGAAGAGAAGAAAGTGACTAAGCAAGAAGATAAATCACATTCAAAATAGTGGACGTGTCAGTTGACGTTATTCACATTGTTCTGTAAAATGAACACTACAGATGTGGCTGCCAAGTAATTGTTCAGAGTGTGCAAAATTATCCCAGTTGGTTCTATGAAAAACATGGTTTTGTGACAATTTCTATAATTGGCTGGGAATTGGACAGCTAGCTCTTGTGCGCAATTCTCCCCCATCTTCCCGGGCTTCCACTTCCTCCATCCCACCTGCCACAAATTCACTCTCTTTCTCCTTCAGTGCTAGCCCCACAGGTGGTGTAAATCCAGTGAAGTCAGTGGAGTTATTCTGAGGGAGGATTGGACCCTCATCTGATGATTTATCATTCATTACGAGAGTCCAAATGCCCTACTCTCTTTTTCCATTATAGTTGATCTACCATGCACAAGTCTCTAGTAAAAGAATATTGATCAGCAGCATACTCTGAATTGAAAGGTGGGGTGATGAACCCTGTTGTCCTGTAGTTGTGGGGAGAATGTGGGAAATTAGGAACAGGAGAAATGAGGAAACTAGAAGGTTGGGATGAAGGAAAAGGCAGGAACAGACACTTCAATAATGACATGGTTCCACAACACACTCTCCTTCCATTCTCCAGGTGACATAAGACTCTCTTAACTGTCAAATTCTTCTCTTCCCCATGATTCAAATCAGAAATGTGTTATAACATCTAGCTTTCCCAAACCTTGTTTCTCTGTCAGGAAGTAAACAGAATACAGGCAGTCCCTGGGTTACGTACAAGATAGGGACTATAGGTTTGTTCTTAAGTTGAATTTGTACGTAACTCGGAACTGGCTCCAGATTCAGCAACCCGGCAGCACCCCAGCTGCTCTACCCGAGGCGTCCCGCAACAAAAGCCTGGTCTGCTGGGGGGGAGGGGGGCGCACTAGCTGCACCCCCTCCCCTCCAGAAGACCAGGGAGACCCGAGCAAAGCCGCCCAGGTGGGCCTGGGCAGCTAAACGAGCAAAGCTCGGGTGTCCCTGGTCTGCTGGGGGGTGTCCAGCGGCTTTGCTGGACCCCCCCAGCAGACCAGGGAGACCGGGAGAAGCTTTTCTCACCCCAGAGGACACGGGTGGCGACCCGCCGCCCGTGAGCTCCGGGGCAAGAAAAGCCCCGTTTGTAAGTGCGGATCCGACATAAGTCGGATCCGCGTAAATCGGGGACTGCCTGTAGAAGGTTCTGTGTTCATTTCTTGCATTTGGATTGCATCTGAACTATTTCACTTCCTTAAAAATCTGAGGAGGAAGAAGAATTTGGCAGTAAAACAAGGGGAAAATAACCCTGAAACAAGGTCAGTTTCTTCCAGGTTTCCAGCTTCCCAATTTACAAGCTTTATCCTTTTCCCTCAGCAAGTGGTTCCTAGTTCACACAACAATAATGCATGTGGGTTTACATTATGTTATCTCAGTAATGAGCTTCTGTTACATGTGTTTCTGGTCACACTTACTTTAATTGAGTGATGTTCTCATCACAATTATAAAATAAGCAGTAAACCTCCTGTGAATTGAATTCTTAATTCTTGTCTAATTAGAACGGCCACTAGCAAAAGTCTCAGCAATAAAACTTCTGTTTGAAACAGAATGAAGAGTAATGGTAGTTTGAACTAGGAAGCCTAGTTCGAACTACCTAGTTCGTGCCGCGTGTAGCCGGGGTCGAGCACAGGGTTCGAACAAGCGGGGATTTAAAAATGGCGGAGACCCACTTATGCAAATGAAGCCCGGGAAATTCAAATCCCGGGCTTCATTTGCAAGTGCAGTATGCCTACATTACCCTCCTAGTTCGAACTAGGAGGGTAGTGTAGACATCCCCCAAGATACTAATGTCATTTGGAAAAACAATACCAACAATCATTAAAGCTATTTAAAAGATACAATTTGAGTAATTTGTTATTAAAATAAACATGATTCTAGGATGCATTAGCAGGTGTGTCATGAGCAAGACACAAGAAGTCATTCTTCCGCTCTACTCTGCACTGATTAGGCCTCAGTTGGAGTATTGTGTCCAGTTCTTTGCAGGGCATTTCAAGAAAGATGTGGAGAAATTGGAGAAGATGCAGAGAAGAGCAACAAGAATGATTAAAGGTCTAGAGAACATGAGCTGTGAGGGAAGACTGAAAGAATTGAGCTTGTTTAGTTTGGAAAAGAGAAGACTGAGAGGGGACATGATAGCGGTTTTCAGGTCTCTAAAAGGGTGTCCCAAGGAGGAGCGAGCAAACTTGTTCTTCCTGGCCTCTGAAGATAGAACAAGAAGCAATGGGCTTAAACTGCAGCAAGGGAGGTTTAGGTTGGACATTAGGAAAAAGTTCCTAACTGTCAGGGTGGTTAAACACTGGAATAAGTTGCCTAGGGTGGTTGTGGAATCTCCATCTCTCGAGATATTTAAGAGTAGGTTAGATAAATGTCTATCAGGGATGGTCTAGACAGTATTTGGTCCTGCCATGAAGGCAGGGGACTGGACTCGATGACCTCTTGAGGTCTCTTCCAGTCCTAGTATTCTATGAATTTTTTGTACATAATTCTACATTTGTAAGTTCAACTTTCATGATAAAGAGATCGCACTACCGTACTTACATTAGGTGATCCAAAAATGACTATTTTTTTTTTTGACAGAGTAAATATTTATGATAAAAATAAATATAAAGTGATGCTTGTACATTGTCTTTTTTGTTGTATGGTTTCACAATACCCACCAGGAAGGGGACCCAGTCCATGACTGGGTCTCTGAGGGCTACTACTACTACTACTAATATAATAATGAATATAGATTATGCAATATGGACTGCCTCACCTAGAGCTACAAGATGTATTTTAAAATCTTTGTAATGTTATGCATTACATATATTTTTGAGTTAAATATGTTTGGGTATGTCTACACTACCCTCCTAGTTCAAACTAGGAGGGTAATGTATGCATACCGCACTTGCTAATGAAGCCCGGGATTTGAATTTCCCGGGCTGTTGCCAATATCTTTTTTATTGAAACCTAAATTAGATAACACAACATCAATCACCTGCCCAAGCAATCAAATTCAGCAATGCGTAAGGAAAAGGGAAGGTAAAAATAGGACAAAGTGTAAAATTTGCTATGAAGAGGGAAATTATTAACATTAGCAATCTTGCTTTCAGGAATACTTTTCTGTGTCTTTGTTACATAAACATAAAACTGTTAAATTAAAATTGAGTGACACATGCCTTTTATGGAATTTCTCTGAGGTGCTTGTTTAGATTCTGCAAACAACTAGGGTATGTCTACACTACCCCGCTAGTTCGAACTAGCGGGGTAGTGTAGACATACCCTTTCTGAGTTAAGCTATTGGGCTTTTCTTATTACAGTCTAACCTTTCCTAAACCAGTTCCTACCACCATTCTTATAGTTCCTTCAAAGTATTACTAATTGTTTCCTTCACAGCGATCCATCCCTTTTATTTCAGTTCTTTTTCATTCATGTTTTGGCTTGTTTAGTTTGGAAATTTTTGTAGAGTAGTTCTTAGTCAAGGCTAAAACATGCCTTTTACTTATTGCATTCTTTTATAGCTTTAGAAAGCTTTATTGATAGGTAAGTTGTACTCAGGATCTTGTAAGAAGCACTGTAATTGGTCAGTTTCCTGAAGAAGAGTTTTTATTGCTTATCCACTTTAAGAAGTGAAGTTTTAACAGAAGCTGAAAAAACAATGCATGTTCTCATATCACTTAAAATATTAAGAGTATTTTAGGCTACTGTTTTTTTAAAAGACAGTGTTTTCTTTATACAGTGATACGATTTACTCAGGCTATTTATACATAATCTCCCAGTGTTGTTGTGTCTTTTGTTGTTGTTTTAAAGAAAGCAGGGGAAAGGTGATTGATGTTTTCAAAGCAAAGATATTGTTAGAGGCTTTAAGGTAAAATTCAAAATTTGTGTTTGTCTTGCTAGAGGAAAGTGGTATGCTACTCAGGAATGTAAATCTTTTAAGGACTTTTAATTACAGGCTGGATATAAAAACACAATGTGTGCTGGACTGTTTAATAAGGCTAGCTGACGTTTGATTGCAGTCAGTTCAAAAGTGTTCTCTGTGTCTTGTTCTCAAATTACAGGTGAGTGTCCTCACCGATCAGGTGGAGGCACAAGGAGAGAAAATTCGGGACCTAGAAGTGTGTCTTGAGGGGCATCAGCTGAAACTTAATGCTACTGAAGAAATGCTTCAGCAGGTAAACTCTAACTTCAAAGGGTTCTTATGCAATCTCTTTCAAGGAGAAGGAACATGTATTCATGCTTCTGACTCTAATGCCTGAGCAAATGGACACAGAACAGTTTTGTCTCCTTTTATCCTCTCTGTTACCTTGAACAGTATTTTCATAGTGCATGTTTGTTTGCTTTCCTAGTATACATGGATTTTACTGGTCTGTTGTGTGGTATAAGCAGAAGGAATGTAAAATGAAATGGCTGTATATTATTAAGAATACTCAAGCAAGTTAAGCTGAAAGTGGGCTAGAGAAAAGGTTGAATAATTGGTGAGGTTAAATGCTAGTTTCTGTAGGGGTTAATTCTGTACTGTGTACTGCTTTAAACTCTCTCCTGCCTTCATGTGGCTTGCTTTGAAGTTGAATTTTAAGTTCATTTGAGGTTGAAATGGGTTAGATTAGCATTTTCTTGATTCATTTTTACGAGCTTTCTTTTTCTTCTCAAAGAGAGAGCTACTATATAAAGCTATTTTCCCCTTACTTCTGACCATGTGCATACAAAACCACAGTTCATTTTTGCTGTTCAACTTAACCCATTCATGCCATTTCACAGCAGAGGATGAGGGCATAGAATACACCATAAAGTAAATGTGGTTAAGCATATCAGACAGCAGTGACAGTTTCAGTGACAAATATTCTGAAGAAGTTTCTCTCTGCAATTTTCCACCTACCAACAAGAGGCACTGAAAATGATGAGTATCTACAGGTAATTTAGATTACAGATATTTAGACAAAGAATAGAGAATTTAAATAAATCAAGACTGTAGATTTGTAGGGCAAAAGTAAGCTTGTTTGGATCTTATCCAAGTGTTTTAAACTTATTTGTAGATGATTAGCACACTTATCTGGCATTGCTTGGGTCCTTAACTCAATTAAGTTTTTTTTTTTAATTAAAAGGAAAATGTCCAAGCTCTATATGATTGTATTTTTCAAAAAATGTTATTTAAGGAAGTTATTTTTAATTTTGGATTTCTGAAAAAAAGAATTATTAACATATTTTCAATTTAATTGGTTTTAGTGGTTTTTTTAAAAATGGGAATTGCATCAAGTTTATTTTTTCTTTATCTCTGTAAACTGTTACCATTTGCTATGTTTTAACAAAAAGGGCTGTAGTCAATGTGGATTCCAGTAACATTTTCTTCTAGTTTCCAGACCTTAAGCATTAATTTAGCTGTGCCAAAACAGAGCACTGCCTCTTTTCTGTAAGGTTTATTGAGAAGCGATCCTAGTGCAGGTTCATCATATTTTTCTGGCTCATCTTGGTTCAGTCCAGGGATGGAAGTAACTTAATTTTATACAGGTTCTGTCGTATTACAACCTGCCTCTGGCAGGGGCCCTTCAGATCAGGAGGTTGGGGATATTACAACAATATTTGTAAGAAATGTAAGTGAATGGTGTGGTATGCGGGGCTCACGGCAGGGGTGGGCATGTTGCGGGTTCAAGTTAGGGGACTGGAGGGGGCTGTGGGTGTGCACCTCTTAGCCAATAGGATTCCTTGGTTGGATTAATGCTTTCAAACTGTTCAAGGCGAGGGAAGCTGGATTCACTCATATAAAATGTGCTAGATTTTGGAAAATGCCAATTTTTAATACCTAGGGTTTTCTTTTCAGAAGGTGGATCTCTAAAAACGACTAGTAGCTATTTAGAATGTGAACCGTCAGAAACAGCATGAACATGTCCCTAATCGGATCTAAGAGGGTTTTTTTCTAGAGCAGCCAGAGTGGAATCCAGGTGGTGGGGTAACGGGGCTTCATGGGGTGGGGGGTCTAAGTACAGCTGGTTGGGGCTCAGTGTAGGGTCTGCATTCAGGGGCTTGGCAGAGTGATCCAGATGCGGGAGGAGTGGGGCTCAGCAGGGTGAAGGTTTGGGAGGAGGGAGGCTCAGAAGTGGGGGTCCAGATGCAGATGGTTTGGGCAGATGGGGTAGTTCCCCCCATACAGTGACCTCTCCACTACTGGCTGAAGGTAGCCATGGGAGGTCCCTGTGGGGCGAGTGTGACCCAGTCTGTGCTTCAAGAGGGGTCCATGCAGAGGAAGAGGAATTCCTTCTCAGCTGGTGCCTGGTACACAATTGGAGCGATCAGCTGGGGAACCCTCAGTCTTGCTTCTCCCTGAGAAACAGAGTCTTGAATGCAGGACTTTGCAGCAGGGGGACTAGAACTGTTTTTATAGTGGAGTCAGCTGTAAACCTTACATGGAATGGAATCCATCTGAAGCCAGGGGATGTAGCAGCACCCTGAATTCCCGCATCTATGCTCCCAAGCTGCTCCTAATGGCCAAACCAGAGGTGCCTGG